AAGTCAGGATGCTACAACTGAACATCTTCGTAGATGGACAAAATTCATGTAAATGAAGCCTATTAGTAGTCTGGCATAATATTGTAATTATGTATTATTATTATTATTTATTTAATTATTATTTTGGTTGTGTTAAAATACAAATATTTGAATAATATTTATCCCCCAGATCTAAGTCATTTTGTGCTATATATTTGAAAACCTTTTTGAAAATAATGAAAAAGGTGTAAGGAAAATATGTTTATATAATAATAATAATATAGTAATATACAATATTAATAGTTATTCATTTATAGGTAAACTAATGTCAAAATTATGTACAACTTTTTCAGAACTAGATGAATGTTTAAAATCAGATTTTTGAAGGTTTTTCCTTTCCTTTATCTTGAACACTTTTATTTGCCGTTGACCCTTGTGAGTTTAGACTTCACCAGTTTAATCATTTATTTTTAAACTATAATTAAAGGACCTGTGCTGTGCTTATCCTTATGCATGCTGAAAAGCTTGTACATGAATCAGAGCAGCTTTCATTCTTCAAAACACACCACTGTATGACCTACTGCCTCTGTTTAGAACCCTAGATCATCACTTACAGGTCCAACCTGTTTTACATCAAAATGCATTATTCTGTTTCCTTCCTAAGAGGATGGTTTGTTATGATAGAGCACTTCTACAGTCCTACAAAAGTTAATTTCGGCTGTAGTCTTGACTGAATTGTCTTTGCATATTTGTTATCTTTTTGATAAACTATCAGCAGACTGAAGATCATCAATTTGAACTAGATGGGAAGATTGTTTGTGCTGCCATCTTGTGTCTGTTGAAATGCTTCTAGCATTTACTCAATGAGGAGTTTCCTGTTCCAAAAGCATATCAGTTTTGAGGTTGTTTTCATGGACCGCTGCAGGCTATATTTTGTTTTTGTCTCCTTTTGAGAGAAAGTGGGCCAGTAGTTGCATTTGGGTGACAAATAATGGGTAGTATTAAAAGAATACAACACCTAACTATGGATTCTAGACCATGTGCTTGGAAACTTTGTTACATTTTTAAAGCTGCAGTCCGTAACTTTTTTGGGTTAAAAATGATCCGAAATCAATATTTGAGCAAGTACATAACCAGCCAGTGTTCAAAACTATCACCTTACTTTAGCCCGATACACAACGGTTAGCTGATAATAATGTTTTCTAATTTGAGTGGTGCGGTTTTTCGCAGGAAATTCGAGCATGGCCACTGCGTCATTATGTCACTAAACATAAAGAAGGGGTCCCGGATACTAGGCTATCGCATGTGAGGATCCTGTAGGTTGCGGTTTGTTAATGTTGTTAACATTAATCATTTGAGAATAAAGTATAACAATAATAATAATTTGAACGGTTTGATGTGAAATTAGCTAACCGCTCTTTAGATTTAATCGCCATTGGTAGCGAGATTTATGGTAATGTTTTTTTCCTCAGTTGGTCAGAACAAACGTGGCAGACTTGTTACTTGTTCAGATGACAATTTACGGTGAAAATTCTTATTTGGGTCATATTCCAAGACGTAGGCTAGAATCTGTGATTGTGAAGTACAGTAAATATCCACACCGGTGCGGTGACTGACTGCCACACACACATACTCTTCAGAACATTAGATTAATCCGCGCTGGAGCCACGCCGACTCATAACCCACGCAAGCTAGGTTTTCCAGGTTTTCCAGGTTTTCAAACAGAGATGGCGACAAAGAGGCAAAACTTACGGACTGCAGCTTTAAATGAACAACATGGGGAAAAATTGTGTAGAAAATACTAGTAAATTTCATGTGAAAATAGGATTTTTATTTCTGTAAAACGTACTCTAATAATCTTTGTTTTATTTATAACTTTGAAGAATAATTCTTAGCAGGGTATTTTTTACAGTAAAAAGTTGCATTTTGTATTTGTATTTATACCACACTAAATTAACATATACAATTGACATTTATTAGTGACTTTGGACTAGAAAGCAATGCCCAAAACACACTAGGATCATGGTGGTTATTTTTTAATAGAGAACTAAGACTCACTTTTCTTTCAAAACATGTAAAAAGCAGATATGATTTCCCCTGTTTGCTTGGACTTGGTTTATGTCAGCAGAGAAGTGTTTCCGAGAATAGCAGGATATTAATTGGGGAAAAAAACAATGTAGGGCGAGACTTGATTTTACCCATTGAGAATTGATTGGATTGTGAATAGTGGTCTCTATACATCAGCTGGTTATGAAAACAAACAAAAATTACAAAAAAGATTTTTGTTCTTTGCAATAATGTTAAATGATTAAGCTCAGTAAGCATAAAAAACAAAAACAAGAAATATGTACAAGAACAAGAATATGTATTAAGAAAGTAAACAGGATCACTTGAGATTTCATGTTGCATTTCAAAAACAAAATTATAGGAATCTAGAGTAAAAATGTGGCTCATGGGCACAAAGTCCACATACATCTAATTTCACATCTTTCAGAGCCTTCCAAAAACAATGGCCACTGGTACATCTATAAATATCGTAACATATTTGGAATGCTTGCAAAAGCGTTTAATCAGCATAAATGGCTACTTTTGCGTAATCATCAGTGGAGACAGGTGCCTGTTGACCACAGAATTTTGTAGTTTCTGCATTTAGAAACACCTCTGTTTCAACAGTCATTGGGGTAAAGCTCTATGTGTCCACCAGAGAGCAGCAGTTACTAACCATGCACCTAAACTCATTCTGTATTCAATTTAGAGTGAAAACCCACAACACCCCCTCACATTTTCCTGGCTGTCACATGTTTAAACTTTATGATGGATGAATGAAGGAACTAATGCATAACTGTCATGATTTCTCGCTGTATTGGTCACGGTTTACCCTCTTCTGCATTAGTGCCAGTGTTTGCTTGGCTCAGCTGACTGAATGTCACGTGATAACTTAATGCACAGATATTCTACGTGATGATGGAATGCCTTGTTCCAGTGGCACTTCTCATTCTCTCATTAAGAGATTTCTCACGCTCTTTTACCTCTCAGACAGAATTTTTGTTGTCAGTAGTGTCTTAAGACTCATCTTGATAGCTTGATTTCACACATTGTTTCCCATAATCTCTCAGGGCACAATTTATAACACCATAGTCTTATAGATTTCATTGTCAGCTTTATCACAAGGCAAGTTAGTTGAAGTTAGATGAACTGTCAGTAACTGTCAAGTTCCGGAAGTAAAAATCCCATTCATTTTCTCTATATAGGAATTGATTTTTAACAGTAACTGATAAATCCTTAACAGACAGATCTACTGTGAGCTACGAAGTTGTTTATCAATGGTGTTTCCTTTTGTTAAAGCCATTAGCTTGCATTATTACAACATATTTCTGTGGGAATCCTGGTCAGAAATTGCATTGCCCATGATTCCTCAAAGACGTTTCTACCAATCAGAGAATCAAAGTACTAAAATATACATGCATATTTCGCTATAAACTTAAAATATATTATTTCGATGTAATCTGCATTTTTAGATTAATAGGTTTATATGTTTCCATCATTTTTTATTTGATTGTCATTCACAGTGTTTCATGGGATTATTGTAGTTGTAGGTTTTTCCTCATTAAAGCCGTTACAGTCTTGTTACAGTTTGAAGATTTTCAAATACTTTTTTTGCTTCAAATTAAAGTTTGTAATGTTGTGATTCTTCTCATAGCGGGTTGGTTTGGTTCATGACTTATAAAATCCCAATGGGAAAGATGCTTCCAGAACCAAGGCCACTGAAAAAGTGGGCTTGTTGAAATTTTATAACCACCTTGTGTATTGATGCAGGCATTTGAAAATATGTACTGCCACCTTCCAATTGCTTGAAATGTATTTTCTGAAAACCAGCTGTCAAAGGGACTATTTTTAAAAACCTAGTTGCATACCTGAACAGCAATTTAAGGGATTATAGGTGCACTAATCAATAATAAAAAAAGCTGTTCCAAAAGGTAGTCATTTTTCCATCCCAGAATGCAATGCATTAAAAAATGTTAAAGAAGTGTTTTAAATTTATGAATATTAAATTAGAAGGATTGTTTTTCTAATATCTCTTTGCTCATTAGACTCATTTTGTTAGCTTAGCAACATGTCAGTGTCATTTTGTGTGGAATTTCAGCCTATGTAGAGCATTCCAAATTAGTCACTTTTGACAGTCTGTCTGGGTCAGGATGCTACATAGGCAGGAGCAAATTTTGCAACAGAGGTTATTATGAGTCTCTGTTCAGAGATACAGCTATACGCAGGCAATCAGTTAAAGACCTTCAGATGTGAAATGAACTTTGTAACTCAAAAAAAGAAAGACAGGAAGAGAAAAATATAATACAAAATAACGGTTTGTTTTTCCTCGAAAAGCTTCTGACCATATTGCCTGTACCATCGTAACGCAGCACAATGCCTCCTCCTTGCACAATGTGCAGGTCAAGCATGCTTTGATTTTCCTGGCATAGTCTGTATAGTAGGAAGCGTTTGATCTGATGTGATCGGTTTAAGCAGTATTACGGGTTTTTTTTATTTGTGTGTGTGTTTTGGCGGTTCGTTCTTCTCTGCTCTGTTAAAATTTATTGGCCAATTTTTTATTTGCATTATCACTCAGTGTCATGACGTCAACCGAGGGGCTCTGACATCGGCTTACAGAAAGCGGGGCTGTTTTTTTGGCGGAAATGGATAGGGGTACTTGCTTATCCCAGAACACTGTGGTGACTTTCGGCCCATGTGATTTCAATGGAGGCACTGTGCGGTAGACGTGTTTTTTTCTTTTGCAGTAACTTTTCCTCAGCCAGATGGTGTCAACAGATATCAAATGTCTTTGAGATGTGTTTCGGTTTCTAAAATGACACACGCATACACCCACAGCCTTTCATGCAGAGAATTGCAAGTCGCAAAAATCGCATAAACACAAACATGAGTGGGAAGTTTTTATCGAAATTGTTGTAACCTTTCTAACTTTCTTTCCACCCCCTTTCCCCTTCTTGCTGTCTTTGACCCATCTTCAGTGTTTCAGGACATTGTGCTGTAAAGGACCTCCCCCTCCCAGACCAGAATATGACGTGGTTTGCATTGGTCTGATGGGTTCTGGGAAGACCAGCCTGCTCTCCAGACTTTGCAGTGAGGCAACAGACAACATCGTCCCTACCACAGGTCAGCCCACCATCATAGAGCAATACCAGGCCTGTCCTGCAAACAAAAACACAGATCTTTGCACTTCCTCTTTGCTTTCGAAAACGCCTTTCCATCATATTTTGCCTTGTGATTGTCTTTAACAGAGTACTTGATTACATCTCGGTCAGTGTAGCAATGAATGTGTTTTAATGACTTCCTTTTATGAAATCCTCATGGCTGCGGTTGCTAATGTTGTTTAACTTTTATTTGCAGGTTTTAGCATTAAAGCTGTCCCGTTCCAGAATGCCATTTTAAATGTCAAGGAACTCGGAGGTAAATACTCTCTGTTGTTAAAGAGAATATTACTTTTATTCATTGATTGATTGATCGATTGATTGGTCAATGACAAATAAGATTGTCCACAATAAAGAGAAGGAAATTCTTTTCAAAATGCTTAAAACACAGATGTCAAGTTTTTAGAAACTTAATCTTATAATTAATTGTAATGTCATGTTTTCCTTACAACAACGTGTGTGCACAATTTAATCATTATTTTTTTTTATCAAACATGTTTCATGAATTATTATATCGTAAACAGTTTTTTTGTCATCGTTACATTTTACAGCATGTACTAACCTTGACTTGCACTAAAAGGGTCAAATCGTCTGATATTTAAGAGATGTATTATTAAAGTATTTTTCTTAAAGTATTTGGTCATTAACATTGTTATACAATGGTCACCAAGGCTAAAAATACAGTAAAACAGAAATGTTTTGAAATACTATTACAATTCAGTGTAACTGACTTCTATTTAAATATATATTAAAATTTAATTTATTCCTGTGATGGCAAAGCTGAATTTTCAGCATCATTACGCCAGTCTTCAGTGTCACACGATCCTTCAGAAATCATTCTAATATGCTGATTTGATGCTCAAGAAACATTTCTTGTTATTATAAATATTGAAAACAGTTGTTTACATTTTTATGGTAACCTGGTGCATTTTTTTAGGATTATTTGATTAATAGAAAATTCAAAAGAACAGCATTTATGTGAAAAATAAATCTTTTGTGAGATTATGAATGTCTTTACTCTCACTTTTGACCAGTTTAATGTGTCCTTGCTGAATAAAAATCTTACCTACCCCAGACTTTTTAATAGTAATGTAAGAAGTGCAGTCAAGTCATTGTGTATATGGATAAATTAATCGATCCAGACAAAAAAAAAAAAAATAGCATTATGTCACTGACCCATTAGCAAAAATCTGCGGACACATCTGTAACAACATTTTAAGCCATTATTTCACATCAGATCTTTTGAAAAGTAAACTTTGGCAACACATCATCTGACACAGCACGAGGAATATGAATGTTATTTGACACAGATGTTACATGAGCACCCGACCAGAAAGGATACAAACTCATTTCTTTGATGATTAATAGTTTTCTCTTCAAGGTAAATTGAACCCCAGGAAGCACCAGTGCTTGGATGCGGCACGCAAAGGAAATGTTTCAGATGTCATTCGCTCAATGAACCCAGAGCCATCTTGGCCCGCATTTCCCTTTTCATATGAGTGATGGGCTGAGGCTTTGAATCTGTCTTTAAAATGAGTGAGTGAAGACAAGAATAAGAGGGTGTTGAGGATGCAGGGAACCCGAGGGGAAGGGAGGGCTAGATAGGTGAGGAGGAAAAAACCCCTTGCTGGATTCATAACTGCTGGAACTGAGGTACTTAAAGAGGGGCATTTCCACCTGGGCCTGTAGAGTTAGAGAAAAGGAAATGTCACCTTTTCAAAGTAATAGTTTGCCCAAAATTGAAAATGCTGAAAGTTTGGATGTTGTTCAGAATCTGTACATACTTCAGTCGAACACAAAAGGATTTTTGAGAAATGTACTGGTTGGAAAGCCAGGGCGGATGTCAAGATTAAAGTAGGGATGAAATGGCATTCATCCAATCTATTTTGCAAATGCATGTTATAGATCTTATTGTGAATGATTCATGCATGTTTCAATTTTTTTATCAAAATGTCAAGACCTTTCGGTGAATACAACAGACATCTCCCTCATGACATATGCCAGATATCTTCAATCATTTTGTTTGCTTAAACCCTGCCCCTTTCTTACAATTGACAGCAGGTGTGCGTTCATCTTTAAGTGCAATGCCCACATCTCAAAATCTAATCAGCATGTCATCACTTTAAATTTCGACCTGCTCCTGACACAAAGCTTGCACCACATTTATGACTCTTTTAAGCCGCTTTTCTGTCTTTTTGGAGCTTAAAGGCTTCAGTCTCCATTAGGGGTGTAACAATGTATTGTGTCACAATATACCATGATCCAAAAACCCAACATTTTGTATCACAGAGAGCGACTATACACTCTAAAAAATGCTGGGTTGTTTCAACCCAACTTTGGGTCAAATATGGACTAACCTAACTTTTGGACCCAAAGTTGGGTTGAAACAATCCAGCATTTTTTAGAGTGTATGTATCATGTATAATTCACTCAAAAGATTTAATATAGGTTTTTTTATTCACGTATAAACAATGATCAGTACAAAACGCACATCAAATATGGAAGCACATTTGAGCTTTCATTTTTGACTTATTAATAATTTTATAATAAAATACAATACTTAACACTTTTTTAAATATATGTAGTCAGGGACAGAATGTCTCTCACATAATTCTGTATTTTTAGCTAAGTGGGAATTATGAAAATGCCTTTCTGGTTAATGAACAATACTTTTTGTTAACTATTTATTATTATACAAATAGAAATTTAACTCAATTTTGGCTTTGTTTACAGTATTGTCAGAGTATCATATTGTGAATCAAACTTCTCCTTTTGTGTTCCAGAAAGTAAAGGATGACATCATGATCAAATGTTCATTTCTGGGTGAACTAATCCTTAAAAAGTGAATTATTATAGGACAGTTTTTGGTGAGAAAAAGCCCACAATGGGAGATCGTCTTGAAATTGAACCTCTGAATTCTCCTTGAAAGCTAGTATAATTATGTCCTGTTTTCCTTTTAAGCACTTTAGAAACCTTTCCTCCAGACCTCCAACGAGTTCAGCTTAGTGTCAGGGGCCTGTGGAGCGTGACCTCTTTTTCCCCAAAAACATCAGTGTAGGGTTACGGCTGGGACATTAACCTTGAACCTGACGCGGAAGGCTCATGTCACACTTTATTGATGGAGGTTGTGTGCCGGCTTGACACGCTGGCTCTCCCGTCGTTTCCACCGCGGTCATCGAGACGGTTTACCGTTCTCGCGTGTTATTGCTTGGTCTGCCCGTCTGGCCTGTGTTTTGGGTCTGCGTGAGTGATTTCAGGAAGCTGGGAGACGTTCAAAGCGCTGCGCTGTCTGTGTGCATTTCCCATCAGTCTCACGGAGACACCCTGTGTGATCTGCCAGGCTGACAGGCGCACCAAAGAAGGGAGCCCTACATGCTCACATTTACCATCTCGCAGCGACCATCTGAAAACACTTAGCAGACTCTCTCTTTGTTTCTCTGGACCATGGCCATGATGTAATGATTTCTGCGAAAATGTGCTTTAGTTGCATTATCACATGAGATTGTAATGCACCGGGCCTTTGCTGATAAATGCTGTTTTGTTCCGTCACATTGTTTGTGTCTTAATGCACATGTTTATGCGTTTGAAATGAAAGTAAACCGCTGCTTTTCAAAGCCCAAGACCTCCCAGTGTTTAGATTTTCTTTTCACAGCCAGTAGATGGCGACTTTGAGCAAAATTATATAAAAGTCAGACCACAAAGAAAGTGTTGATGCACATTTGAGACTGATGAGATGTTGTGTTTTGGAAAAGCCAGGCCATATAGGAAAGAAATATCAGGCTGAGCAATTATGCGTTAATATTTAATAGCGCTTGGTAAAATGGCAACAGCAGATCAAATGCCCGTTAATTAGATGAGTCAGCCTCGGACATGGCCTGTCTGTGAGGATCCCAAATATTTATTGTGAGTCACAAATTGTCTAAACATCTGCAAAAAACATTATTATTTCTTTGGCCGGTTGTCGTAAAAGTCCTGTCAGGCTTGCATGTCAGCGGTTGGAAAGCTGTTGCTGAATACCGCAGTGGATAATACCTAATGAGAACTGGAAGTATTACATTGTGCATCATACACAGCGATGATATCGGGGAGTCGAGCTCTGAAACTCAATCTGATAGGTGGAGTCTGTTCCAAACTTGAACCGAGAACAGTTTTAGTGCTGATAATTTGGCGAGGCATGACTAAGAGCTCAATTTGTGGTGTGACAAAGGCTTAGAAGTTTGGAAGTGGAACCATTAAACTTGCATCCAATGTGTTTAGCGAGTGGGAAAAAAGGATCGCGCAGCTGCTTAGTGTCAAGCAAACAGCTTATACATCTTGGCGAACTTCAAGAGCTTTGAATAAAGCTGTCGATGGCATTGATTTAAGACACCACCTTTTCGAATAGCATTCTGTTTATTATTTCATGCCTAGAGATGAAAACAGAGCTAATTTTTAGGACTCATCGTCATAGGATATGATGTGCATGAGGCATGCTAGTAATTAATACGGCGCATTCCATTCAGGAAAATCACGAGGACAAGAGGTATAGACAAACTGCTCTGTTTTTTCACGGTTAGGGTACAGGCCCCACAGTGACTCACTTTAACCAAAGCCATGCTGTGCTTGTGTGTCTTGGTGGCCACATTTTTGTACCCCCAAATTGCTGTGCACAAGAGAAACCATATGTTCACTGTAAAAGTGGGCCCATTTGAACTGTGCTGTAGACTGGCCATCAGAAGAAACCATTTTAATATGCTCTCAGGGTCGACTTTAAAGAAACACGGTTGCGTTGAGCGCTCTTCATTTGGACACGGCTTTTCCCACAGGCCTCCCCGAGCGAGAATGAGAGTTGGTATGCGTTCTTGAAGTCATAAAAATACATAATGCAATATCCGCAGTGATTTTTGAAAGCAGGTCGGGGTCCTCACCAAATGCATTCCAGAAATGTTCGAACTGATGCTGTGTCGAAACACGCTGTATTCCGTTTCCCACTCAGTTGCCAAAAAGTTTCTCGTTGTGCTTTTTGTTTAGATCTTTGCCTTGGTTCTGCCATCTGATTTGCATCCGACAGGAATGCAAATCAGCAAAGGGGTTAATGTGTGTATTAAATGTTATGACTTCCTTGCTGCGATCGTGACTGTGTGAATTTATGTGTTTTGCGGTGCAGGAGCGGACTCAATTAAAAAGTACTGGAGCCGGTACTACCAGGGCTCTCAGGGAGTGGTGTTTATTTTGGACAGTGCTTCGTCGGAGGAGGACTTGGAGGTGGCGCGTACGGAGCTCCACTCGGCCCTGCAGCATCCGCAGCTCTGCACGCTTCCCTTCCTCATTCTGGCCAACCACCAGGACAAACCTGCTGCCCGCTCTGTACAAGAGGTAACCCAATACTCGCTTAACACTTCCCTTCCTCACCCTGGCTAACCGCCAGAACAAACCTGCCGCCCGCTCTGTACAAGCCGTAACTTTACACTCGCTTAATACTCGCCTAATACTTCCATCATCGTACTGGCTAACCACTAGGACAAGCCTGCCGCCCTCATTTGTACAAAAATTTACCTAATGCTTTATACCTCCCATCATCATCATATACTAGTCATACACTCCATTCAAGAGGTCACTTCAAGGGATCGTTCTCCTAGAAATATGAATTCTGTCATATTTACACACCCTCATGTCATTCCAAACCTGTATGACTTGCTTTCTTCTGTGGAACACAAAAGAATATGTTTTGTCAATAATACAATGAAAGTAAGTGGGGTCCCAAACATTTAATTGCATGGATAAAAATACTGTTTTTCCAAATGATCTTCTTTTATGTTCAGCAGATGAAAGAAAGTCATACAGGTTTATAATGATATGGGTGAGTAAATGATGACAAAAGTCCCTTTTAAGCCCGGGGACACACCAAGCCGACGGCTGTTGGGCAATGTCGGGTGGTTTTTGAGTGTCAGTCAGCTTTAGCTTTTTTGGTTTGCTATGAACCATTGGCTCTAGTCGGATGCCATCAGTGGTTTTTCAGCCGGTTCTGTATGTTGAATCGGCAGCGGAGCTTGTTGGCAAGAAAGAGTACTCCAGTTGGCTATTCAGCTTAGAGAATGAGCGCACAAGAAAAAAACGGAACTAACGAGAGCAAAGAGGAGTAAAGAGGGAATGCACAGACACTTGTTGTCATAATATTTGTTTCTTTCTTTCTTTATCCACTAGAAGAAGACCAAGGGCTGACGATGCCAGTGCCATTTGCAACTTAGCAGACATGATTGAAAAAAGCTACACAAATCCGTCAGTAATGAGCATGGCTGGTGTAAACAATGGTAAAAGCAAGTGCTGCTGGCTTTGTATATCCACAGCTCTAGGTCTTCCAGGTTCCCTGTTTGAATGCAGAATACAGGCTACTGCCACCTGCTGGTATGGGAGAGTTATGTTCTCTGACACAAGAAGCCAACTACACGCTAGTTGGTCATCAGCAGTAGTCTGTCTGGTGTTCTTTGGCATAGGTTTGGTGTGTCCCTACCCCTAAGGCAAGATGTCGCTCAGCACCGTGGGCAGATATTTCCAGTCATGCAAGTACAGCTCCTATAGAGTGTTTTCACAACATGTCATCAATCCGGAAGTCGACCATATTGGCGGCACTGAATGTAAACAATGAATGAATAAATGAGGCATTTATATAGCATTATAGCAATGCCAGTGAACTGAACAGAACTCGCAAATTTTGCTGATTATTGCTGCTGAAAATGGTCAGTTATTGTCGTGTTTTGGGCTGTACTAATCAATGGGGCCGGGAAAAACATTTGGAGTACTATAGACTGCCAAAACTTAAAACAAATCACGGAGAAGAGTGCAAAAACTGTCTGAGGAAAGAAGGCATTTGTGGTTGGCCAAACTGAACCAGGATTTCCAGGGCAAGAATCTTGACAACATTTGTTTTTGTTCTTATCATTCCTTGTCGGGTAGGTGAAATATTAGGCTAATACCGTAACTCAGTGTTCATTGCTACCTACTCCCTGAGCAAGTTTACTTCAATTCGGGAACATTCATTTAAGGATTTGCGCTTCACTGCCTGCAGCGTCTTCACACACAGACGAAACTAACAAGAGAAGTGTGACATAATATACCTCTGTAAATAAATACAATTTAAATTAATGATCACACTTTTATGCCCTTTGAATGGAACATATACGCTCCCATCGAATTGGAATCATGGTGAAATATCCTGTGATGTTCACTTCACAGTGCACTTATGATCGAATAGAACAAACGTATTTAGTGATAAGAGAAACATACAAAATGTGCAGAGCATTTAACTAATACAGCTTCTGCGGATCTTTACCACCTATTAACTTTAGTTCTGTCATGAGAACTCTCGGAGGGATTGGCATGGTAATGTACATGACAGTGTTAATGTATTTGGTCTTGGCGGAATAGATCTGCTACGCTGCTGATGCTGCTGTGGCAGAGCAAGTACCGAGACTTGCTACTGCCAATACATCCACAACATGCTGCTGTGAGCATGTAAGAAATATTGCTGCTGCAAATATAACATATATGAAATAACCCCCAGCATACATGAATACATCGTAGGAGATCTATACAGGTGGAGCTGGGGAAGGTGGAGGGTTTCTGAAGCAAGCTGCAACTGCTGCGGCGAGGTCTAGTCATATATTTGAATGATAGAGCAGAATTTCCTGAAACAGTTTGTCAGTGTTAAGTTAAAACAACAATGACAACTACAGTATCATAAATTGTGTTTCTTTAGCTCAAATCACACAAAAACTGTCAAGTCAAGGCTAGTCAAGCAAATGCACATTCTAAACAAACGAGCGATGCCTCTATGAAAACTGCAAGGTGGGACCAGCCGCCATATTGAGTGTTACGATTTTTCCCATTATTGTTTTTTTAAATAATTTTTTTAAGTTGTAGGCTCTTTATGTAAATTTCAGCACACTTTCATGGGCAAATAAACGGTCCATTGTCCAATAGCCTAGTGCTGCATAAACAAACACAGTTCAAACGGAATTTAAATCAAGCAGCTTTATGCTGGTCAACAAGGCAAATCTGTGTGGCAATTTGTGTAATCTGTGTGAGGAACTTTTCACCCTCACATGAATTTCCTGATCTCACTTTCCTATTGAAATGACTGGATTACACCCACAGAATTTCATCGTGGAATGATAAATGCGACCACATCTTTAGACCTTTGCTGAGATGCAAAAACTTTATCTCACTTTTGAGATATTTATTGTAAATATTGTAAAGTTAGTTCACCCCAAAATTAAAACTGTCATCATTTATTCACCCTCATGTCATTCCAAACTCATAAGAAATTTGTTGTTCTTTGGAACACAAATGAATATATTTTTAATGAAACCTGAGAGATAAAACTTAAGTCTGTTCACTCAAAACCTTTGTAAAGAGGTAAAAAAAAAAAATGAATTGAGCAGTTTAATCCAACAAAAGCTCAGCGATACTTGCTTGATACACAAGAACAAAACTCATTGGTTCTTGCAGAAGACTTTCAGTGGAGGGACAGAAATCTCTCAGATGTAACAACTAAAATATCTTAATTTGTGTTCAGAGGATGAAACACATCTGATGGGTTTGGAACGACATGGGGTTGAGTAAATAATGCCAGAATTTTCATTTTGGGATAAACTAACACTTTAAATGATAACATTAGGCAACACTATGTCTGTTTCAGAGGATTCGATTGTTATTTGCAAACACTCACAGGCCACAAGACACTCTCCCACAGATCTGCAGCACCCAGCTTACCCACTTTCTCAGGCTTTCCTGACAATAAGTCTTTGTATTGTTGGGAGCCCAAAATACTGGCGGTGTGGGGAAACACTACAGCTGTTGTCCCATCTCATAAGAGTGTATTCATTTTACCATTTACTCTATTTGAGATTCTTTCGAACATCTTTTCAAAAGCAAGTGGCATCAAAATTAAGATGAATTGCTGACTGCTGTTAGTAATAGCAAACAGTTGGAATGTGTGGCATGTCTCTGCTGTCACATTTCTATTTTAATGGACCCCTTGTCACTTTTATGTTTGGAGGATTGAATTACTCCGCCTGTGCATCTTTTCCTCAGTGATTTGGTGTCTGTGTGTTATTTGGCTAATACCATGTGTGTTGTCCGTGTGTGAGCGTGCATGTGCGCACATCTGCTCAGAGTGGAGAAATCAGTCCACGGGCTGCAGGGTATCACCCAATGCACAGAGCGCTAATTAACTGGCTGAGAAGTGGTCCTGAGTGAGCAGTAAATATCTGCCTTTGGAGAATAACACATCCCAGTTCACTGATGTGTGTCAAAATGTGGCTTTTCAGTTGGCAGTGACACTCGTTCTCCTTGCTGGAGATACAACTTGGGTTACACAAGATGGGACCTGACCAGCTTGTTTTCCATTAAATTGCTCTCAATCGATTTCAAATTGGATCAGATCTCCTGGACCTCCTATGGGCATTTTTTGAAAGAAGAAACGATCCACAGTGCAGAAAACAGAAAGGGAGCTGGTCAAAAAATGTTGGGTCATTATAAGGGATAAAGTTACTGCCAGCATTTTTTTAAAAACCAAATCCTCTGTTAAATTATATTACGTTATGAAAAACTTTTTTTGGGTGACAAATTACATCAATCTGATTTTCAGCTTCACCATTTAAATGTATTTTTGAGGAGGCTTTAAGTAAATAAATAAATATGGCTGTTAGTCAGTTACAATTACATGATGTGACAATTAAGCAAATTAATCACAAATGACATTTGGCTGTGAAAAAACCCTGAAAATATAATGTAAAGCCGTTGTGTTAAATGAGAAAAATATGAAGTAGATATTACAAAAAGTAGCTTTAGAAAGAAATCTTTATAATTTGTTTTTTTTTTATTTAACAAAAAAATTATTACACATAAACATTTAGGCTATAACGGCCTAACATTACCATAAGCTATGAAGCATAAAAGAACTATCACTTGATTGATTGATTTTTTTTTTTAATGCAATGATACTCTAAATAAAAAACATAAAACTGCCAGTAGGTGGCGGTAAATGTCTTTGAGTAAGGCATTCATTCATTTATTCATTCGATTCGTTCAAACCTCTGAGAAAATATGAGACGTACAGACATACAGAGGCTTTTGTTTTGCCCCAATATCATACATTTTAAGGGCCTATAACTGCATTTTATAGGCTATATCACGCAGTGAGTTGTAGCCCTGCATCATGTTTGTCAACAGTCAACTGTATGAAATATATAGTACAGGTCTGGGGCAGGGCGGGTGTGTTATTTGGGTTAAAATATTTTAATCGCGTTATTTTTCCGTAACTAATTGATTAAATTAACACACTAAAATGACTTCCCCTAGTATGTGTGTTTTTA